GCTTTCAGTCATGTCAGCATACTAGAGGAAGGGGGGGGGCATTATGTACAAAGAGATCTTGTATGAATTCGCTTTCAGTCATGTCAGCATACTAGAGGAAGGGGGGGGGCATTATGTACAAAGAGATCTTGTATGAATTCGCTTTCAGTCATGTCAGCATACTAGAGGAAGGGGGGGGGCATTATGTACAAAGAGATCTTGTATTAATTCACTTTCAGTCATGTCAGCAAAAGCTATGGAAGTAAATATTTGCAATAAAACAAGAACTTCAGTTAAGTATGTTAATTACTTGCTACTTACCTTCCACAAAATTATGATAACGATTATAAGTAGAAGAATGCCACAAGCCACAGACACTATAATGATCCAAATTGGGACTTCTTTCTCTATTTCAGAAACAAGTTTGTCTGGATAAGCTTTGGTTTCAGCCTAAAAACAGAAAGATGGATTCATTTTTTATAGAAAAGCGTTTCCAAAAAACCAAATCTAAAACTTCTTTATATAAAGTTTATAAATATCCAGTTTAGGTAACTAGATTTTTAGCTACGCTTTAGCTGTACACAAACACCCTTAAAATGTTATGTAAATAATTAAGAGTTACACACAAATATGTATTCAATTCCCAAAACATTTTATAACTGTCATGATTTCAAGTTTCTGATACTAAACTCTTCCAAAATAATTTTACAAAGTTTTTAATAGTAGTTTGTTTAATAGTGTGTGCAGATTGCCATACAACTCCACTGCTGTATGTCAAATTAATTTCCACTGTTTGTTTGTTTTGTTATGAGTTTCGCGTAAAGCTACACCAGGGCTACCTGCACTAGCCGTCCCTAATTTAGCAGTGTGAGACTAGAGGGAAGGCAGCTAGTCATCACCACCCACTGCCAACTCTTGGGCTACTGTTTTACCAACGAATAGTGGGATTGACCGTCACATTATAATGCCCCCACGGCTGAAAAGGAAGAGCATGTTTGGTGTGACAGGGATTTGAACCCGCGACCCGCAGGTACAAGTCGAGCGCCCTAACCACCTGGCCATGCTGGGCCTTAATTTCCACTACATAAACTGTTTATAAATTTTTGAAGCTTTTACTCAATCTTTGTCATATAAATTACTAACACTAATTATAAAGTCAAACCCTACTAGTTAATTTCTGAAATTCAAGAGCATAGTTAAAATAAATTAAAACACTAGATTTTATGTTGAAGAAGTTAAAGAGAGAAAAAAATAAAATTAACATTATAAAAATAAAGTTTGTCATCAAATATGTATAGTATGAAAGAACTTATTTTACAAAAGTTAAGCTTCAATCTTTCTTACTTACAGCTTAAATAAGCAAGTATATATTTTGTGTATGCTACATCTGTACATAAACTTACAGAAGCTAGATAAAGAATAATCTTTTCTCTCACTTTCCGCTTGTTCCATATCCAGCTAAATGGACAAGTATTTTACAAGTTATATGATGTATTGTTTTTTGTTAAGCACAAAACTACACAATAGGCTATCTGTACTGTACCCACCACAAATACTGAAACCCAGATTTTAGCAGTGTGAGCCCTCAGACTTACCACAGAAGGGCTTATATGATGTAAAAATATGGAAAGAGAAACACACTGCAGTGAAATAAAAACAATTAAGTTCCATAAAAATGTCCATAAATTTTCACGTGGCTCTCTATTTGATTAATAAGAAGAATACTTTACTTTTCTTTTTATCACATACAATATGTACATATCAATGAAAAATAAACATATGAAAATAAAGAAGTTTCTATGAAGCTTAATCTATTTATTTGTGGAAAAACTCCTTAATAACTGTGACCAAAAGTTTCTATATATATTAATAAATATAAATAAACAAAACACAAAAAGGTAAAATTGATATTAGAAGTCTATCTCAATCATAATTTTATATTAACATATATCTTAAATCAACAACTTATTGAACATAACGCAAAAACATAATGTCCTGCAATGCTATTGTACTTTTGTCACAAACAAGCAATAACATAGATACTAAAAAAGTTAAATAAATGATAATATTAATCCTATATGCATAAAGTAGCACTCAATGAATATTAATCAGTTTGTCTATGAACATCAGTTAATATCCAATCTTTTAATTTTTTTTAACTCTCTGCAATTGTATTTATATTCCATAACTCCCTGAAGAGTTGGTTCATTATATATATTGTATTTCATTCTCTTTTACT